CCTCCCCAGCTTTTTTTTTTTTTTTTTTTTTGAGACGGGCTCAGTAAGTTGCGCCAGGCAACCTGGAGCTTGTGATCCTCTTCTTGCCTAGGCCTTCTCAACAGTTAGCATTGCAGGGTATATGTCCTGTGCTCAGCTAATATATACATTGTAAGGCTTATTCTGTGATGTGCTACTGCAGTGGCTGCTCTCTTGTTTACACTAGAATGCTTGTTATATAGTGCTTGTCTTAATGGCTTTACCATGCAGTTGAGACATTAAAACTGAGAAGAAAAGTACCTAGGGAGATACTGGCAAAAATATGAAGTAACATGCATAAAGTTTAATTGCGGCACTGTTTGGAATAATAGATGGAAACAACTTACATGCCCACCAGGAAGGGGTGGTTTGAATAAATTGGTAAATCCACACAGTATAGTTCTGTGCAACTATAAGAAAAATGGTAAAGGGCTTGGGGTGTACCTGAGTGGTAGAGTATGCTTATTATGTATGAGGTTGTGAGGTCAATGGTCAGCACCAAAAAAAGAAAAAAGATTATGCTAGCGGTGAAGTTATGACACCTATCATTGAAATCTCTAAAAGATTGGCCATCCGTGCATACCGTTGAGAAGAGATCTCTGGGTTATATTAAATGAAGAAAATACGCATAGTGTGCTGCCTTATCTGAGGGTCAGCACATACGCATGTGCTTATGTTAAATGGAAAGTAACCAGGTGTGGCACATGCCTGTAATCCCAGCACTTGGGAGGCTGAGGCAGGAGGATCACTGTGAATTTGAGACCAGCCTGGGATATGTTACGATAGCACTGAGGCAGACGGTGATATGGAGGGCAGCCTTAGTGGCTTTTATTTGGAGCCAAGTATCTTACACTTACATAATTAGAGAACACAAAGTTAGGTCAGTGTTCATTTTCAGTAAATCTTCAGTTACTGTTTTGTATTTTCTGTTCCTTACCACCAGACATGTTGGATAAGGAGTTTGTATTTTATTCCTGTTTTTGTCACCATTTTCAGTTCTTCCAAACTTGATTTCCATAACATTTAAATCTGTGCTCCAAGACTTAGCAGCTAGAATATAGTCCTGTTATATCCTCCCTCCTTTGGCTTATGTAGCTGTGAACTTTCCTAAACTCTAGGCAGGGAAAGATGAGCCTGGTCCTCCTGTTCTTTTGCACCATTTTATTTTTTTTGTTACCAGAGGTTAAACTTGGGCCCTTGTGCTTGTGAAGCAGGCCCTGGAACCACTGAGCCAAAGCCCTCAACCGTGTATCATTTTAAATACAACATTTCTATGGTACCTACAAAGGCCATGCTGATGGCATCTTAGGATACAAGGATAAACAAGTTCTGCTGTCAAAAGGGACACATAAGGTAGGTGTGGTGACACACGCCTGTATTCCCAGCACTTTGGAGGCCGAGGCAGGAGGATCCCTGTAAATTTAGACCCTGGCTCTCAAAACAAAAAAAGGGTGACACATAAAATGTTACTGAAACAAAATATTTTCAGAGCAGGAGGACAGGCATCTAACCTGGCATGAAAGTTCAGGAAAACTTCCAGGAAAAAAGTGATGTCTGAATTTAATCTTAAAGGAAGGGTAGCCAGGCATGGTGGCTCACACCTGTAATCCTTGCACTGTAGAAGGCTGAAGCAAGAAGACTGCAAATGTGATCCCAATCTGGCCAGTTTAGCAAGACTTTTGTCTCAAAAAGTAGTAATTTATAAAGAGGGCTGGAGTGCTCGCTTCAGCAGCACATAAACAAAAATACAAAAAGGGCTGGAGGTGTGGCTTAGTGTCGGGTGGGGGGTGGGGTAGGATAGAGCTTTCCCAGGCAGAGATTTGGCTTCATTCGGGAGGATGGGATGTTCCTGGGCAGAAACGTAATTAGCACAGTATTCAGTGCGACTGGTGTCGGAGGCTTAGGTCAGAGGTGGCTGGGAAGCTCCCATAGATCAGCGCTTCTCAGATTCCCCTCATCACCGCTTACAGAACCTACTTGAAAACGTGGAAGTACAAGGGAGGAACAGGTTGCTTAGTGGGAGCTCGTGGCTTGGGAATTCTAGCTGCCCCATGTTAAGACATCCATGTGGTGATGTGGAGTAGGTGGAGCAGACATTTTGGTGACCAAACCAAGGCTCTATCTGGGATAGAGATACAAACGTGGGAACCATTAAAGCTTCAGGGCTCTCTGAGGTCCGCAAAGGGAAGGGAGAAAGGGGGCTGGGAAGACCCAGGTCTGAGCCCCTAGAAACACTGATGTGAATGAACCCAGCTGAGAGGAATGGGGGAGATGAAGCTACTGCATCTGGAGGAAAATACTGCATTTTCTCATAATTTAAAGAGGAAAGGGCCGGGGATTTAGCTCAGCGGTTCGGTGGCCTGCCTCAAGCGCAAAGACCCGAGTTCAATCCCCGGTACCACAAAAAAAAATTTGCAAGCGCAAGGACCCGAGTTCAAACCCCGGTAACAAAAAAAAAAAAAAAAAAAAAGAAAAAAAAATTTTTTTCTTTTCTTTTAAGAGTGCAGTGTTTCTATTTTAGCAAGTACGTACCAGCAGAGACTATACAAAATCACCTTACAGAGAAGAAATGGCTTCCTGCCAGCAGGACGTGGCAATCACCCTATTGGAAATATTAACAAGCTTAAATAAAGAATGCCTCACCCTGAAGAGGGATGGCACTGAAGCTCTAATAAAAGGAGAGTCCCTGAGGCCCACGTGGGCAGATCCATTCCAAGCGCCATCCTAGAAAGAGTCCTTAGCCATCACAGTGAGCAGTCTAGGAGCTCTGGCAAGGTTGCCTGCAGCAGAGGTGGGGTAGAGGATTGTTGCCAGGAAGTCTTCTGGACCCATTGGCATGATTCCTTATTGGGATGGCCAGATGCCATTAAAGATACAGACTTGTTCAGTGATGTGGTCGTGCGTTTAGACATTGACACAATTCTGATTTGGCTTTACGGAGACGCTGTATTAGACATGTACACGTGAGTTTTCAGTCTGAAGTTAAATGTTTACGGTATTTACGCATTATGGCTCTGTAATACAATAAATTGTGAACTTTGTTGGCACAAACTAGTATCTCCAAAAGCCAGCTTTGGAGCACAGAAAACTCAAGCCCAGCAGTAGGCTCAACATGCCAAATACCACCGATGAGTTCTTGGGACACGGCTGCCAACCTTCTCTAGGTAATGTTCCAACATCCCGAAACTTCCTCGTTTAGTAGAGCAGATCGTACACTGCTAGTACTGAAAAGGACCTGGTGCAGCTTCTAGTCCAGGACACCTTATTTTCTGACGTTCACAGAGGCAGGGAACTTAGCCAAGAGCCAACCGTGTGTCAGAAGAGGGGACCAAGGTCGGACCTCTTGATCGGTGTTCTGTCCAGGACACCCTAAGGCCTTACCTGGAAAGAGGCACAAGGGATGTACATCCTCAACTTCCATGTACCGTCGCCTCCCCGCAGAGCGACGATCACCCGTGTGACCAAGGGGTATGGATTTGAATCGAAGCCAAACTCACTCCTGTTCTGGAGTAGAAGAGAGAGAGAGAGAGAGAGAGAG